TCAGAAGGTGCCCACAGGGCAGTGTGCCAAACTGGTCTCTCCATTACTCGCTACAGTTCATAGGTCTCTCCAGTTGAATCTGGACCCACTTTGCTATTTCAACTAGGATTTGTGTGATAATTAGCGGATATGTTACCATTTAGATACCATAATTTTGTCCCACCCACCCAACTAGTAATTTGCTTACCACAAATGTATTTGGTCTACACATTTTGTCTCTAAACCCTTTGCTCTGACATTCTTTAAAATTACGATTCTAATTGGTGGTCTACATGTGACAGTAAATCTTTCAATGGAGGTTATCTACTTCAAGACCATTTAAAAATTAGGAAAATATGCCTCATGTAGTATGTCAAAAGAGTTCTGTTGATGAGAGTGGATCTCAATTGCACTTTCTTATTTTCTGAAATCTTCCTCTAAACACTAAATATTGTGCAATAATTATATGTGGAAACCTATCGACTACAGGAAGTTTAGGAAACTTTAAAGGTGAGTTCTTCATATTGCTCAGAGGAAATAAAATATAAATAGATTAAAGAAGTGAGAATCCAAATAATCATTTCAAGTTTTAGAATGCTATGCCTATTTAATATTTCACTTGGTTAGAATATTTAAGCTAATGATCACTATCTGAATATATTCATTGGTTTTGTCCTTTAGATAAGAATATTAAGCTTAAAATTAATAGCAATTCTACATTAACCTTTGAGATTACTGATTACTAATTAAATTGGCAAATGAGCTTCTGTCAGAAAAATCTCATTCCACTTCTGTTAAAAGAAAAGAAAAGAAAACAAGCTTCCCTAAAAGAACTTTATCAAGTCAAAGCATTGGAAGAAATGTTATTCATTAGATTTTATTATTTCTAAATTCCTTTGTTCCTCTTCTATCTGGTCCTTAGCTTGCTTCTACTGCACTGGAATACTTTTTAGTTACCCAGTTGAATCCTTCTTTGGCACTTTCTTAGTTCATTCACTTATGAGTTCATTCATTCATTTATTTATTCACGTATTCTTTGTATCAGTTAGCTTTTTTGGTTGAAATTCAAAGAACATGACTAACTAAACCAAAAGAATTAATGAATGAATTAGTTATTGGATAACATAGGATAGTTTATGAAATCACGGGAAAGACAATGAACTGATCTTTTCTTTCCCCACCTCTTCCTTCTCTCTTTCTTTCTTTCTTTTAGTCAAAACTGTAGGCTGTCTAATGATTTGGGACGGAAAACAGATGTCTAGTCTCTTTGAGGAGCCATTTTATTGGATGAATATGGTGCAAGTGGCTGTGTGTGTGTGTATGTTTGTGTGTGAGAGATGATTGATAAATAGATAAATACATAGATAGATAGATAGATAGATAGATAGATAGATAGATAGATAGATAGATAGATAGATAGAAACATATATACATACATATATAGAGACTGACTCTATGTTTGAGCTTGGGAATATTCCAAACTCTTGGTCAGAGTGGGCAGCACCTACATAGTAATGCTAAGACCACATCCACTGATGGAAAGGTAGTTTCTCAAAGCCAATTTTTTGGTTCAGTTAACATATCCCAAAATGAAGAATTGATGCTGGATAAATTAAAGCAATAAATGATTACTATATTTATTTGAATTGCAGTCATCAAGAAGACAAACAACAATAATTGTTGGCAAGGATGTGGGAGGAAAATGTACACTCATGCATTGTGGGTGGAACTGCCGATTTGTACAATTGCTTTGGAAAGCAGTATGGATATTCCTCAAAACACTAGGAATAGAACCACCATATGACTCAGCTGTCCTACTCCTTGGTATTTACTCAAAAGAACTAAAATCAGCATATTATATATATAGTGATACAGTTACATTAATGTTTATAGCAACACAATACATGACAGCCAAGTTATGGAACCGGCCCATGTGTCCATCAACAGATGAATGGATAAAGAAAATGTGGTATATATAGCAATGGAACTTTACTCAGCCATAAAGAAGAATAAAATTATGTCATTTGCTGGTGAATAGACAGAACTGGAGAATATCATGCAAGTGAAATAAGCCAGACTTAGAAAGTCAAGGGTCAAATGTTTTCTCTCCTAGGCAAGCTAGAGGAGGAGGAGGAGGAGGGGAAGAAGAATGGTGAACTTTGTAAAAATAGAAGGAATATCATAGAGTAGAAGTGGGGGGACTGAGAGGGAGAGAGGAGGGACAAAAAGGGGAAGAACTGGGAATGAAATTGGCCAAATTTTGCTATGTGCATGTATGAGTATATCAGAATTCATTCCAATTTTATGGATAAGTATAAAGGATCCATTAAAAATACATACATAAATAGAAGGAAGAACAATATAGTAGAAGAAAAGGACTGGGCGTGGGAAGAGGAGAGGGAAAGAGGACGTATTGGGAATTGAAATGAAGCAATCTATGTTGTATGCATTTATGAATATTTCAAAATGAATCCACTATTATGTGTAACTATAATGCACTAGTAAAAAATCTTTTCTTGATTGACACATAATTGTACATATTTATGGGGCCCAATAAAAGGCATTGATTTATGTATACATTAAATAATGATCAAATCATGGTGTTAACATACATATCACCTTGAAATTTATCATTTCTTTATGTTGAATTAAAAATAAACAATGCATTATTGTTATGGATATTCAGCTTACAGTTCAATAGAGAATGAAACTTATTCACCTTAACTGAAACATTGTACCCATTGACCAACCTTCACCTATTTCTTCCTCCTACTCACTTTCTTCAACCTCTGATAACCTGTATTCCACTCTCAACTTGTATGATGTTGCTTCAAAACAGTGAGTGAGATCATGTGGTACTTGTCTTTCTATGCTTGGCTTATATCATTAACAAAACGACCTCCAGTTCCATTCATGTTGCAAGTGATGGGATTTTTCCTTTTTATGGCTGGGTAATATTCCATTCAATAGACTACATTTTCTTTATCCATTCATTGTTTGATGCACACATGTGGTAACTTTTTATATGTGGCATTCTTGAGTCAAAACATATACACATTTTATATATTGGATATGTATGTAGAGGTATAGAAAAATATCTAGAAGAATATATACTAAAATGTCAACAATGGCTACTAGTTTGGCTTATTTTTACTCATGAGGAGATCTATCGTTACAATAAAATTGGAGATTTATTTAAGGAAATTTGCTCTCTACTAGGCATCTGACATTTTCTCCTCAAGAAGAAAAATTTTAAATGGCCTGGTGTTTCCTTGCTTAAAATCAAAAACAAAAAGTTCGTATTTTGACATCATTTGAGATTCAGAAAAATTATAAACATAGTTCAAAAATCTACATATAGTTTTCATCCTGATTCCCCAATGTTAACAGTTTGCATTTGCTTTACCCTTCTCTCTCTCCCTATATATCTCTAGTTTTGTTTTTTACTTGTTTGTTTGTTTGTTTGTTTTTTCCTGGTCTGAGACTCAGTTGCAAACAGGAATCTCCTTTAGCCCCCCGCACAAATTTGACTCCATCTTGTGATCTTTGGTGACAGCTTTTAAACATTATTCTTCTCTTGTCCCTGTTACCCCTTAAGCAAGCTGATGAGAAAGCCTGATGCTTCTTCCTATGGGGCCATGGGAGCGCCTGGCTATGTGAGGACCCTCCGTCTGGTCCCATGCCCAGACCCAGTCTCCTACTCTTGCTTTCTCACACCTGTTTGGTAGGCTTGTCTGTTTTCTCAAGATCCATAAATTATGCCAACAATAGACATTTTCATACCCTCCTTGTCTGTGCATATCATAAAAA